TGCGGTTTGGCAGCAGTTGATACCAAGGCATCTTTTATCTGTTGAAGTAACATTGCAGTTGGACACGCATCCCATGGCCATTTCTCCCGAGTTGATTAAGGCGAGGTTGTTACAACCCATGGCCATGAATCGGTTGTAGGTGTCTGAGAAGGTAAAAACAGTAGCATACGTGTCCACATCATATTTACTAACCTTGTTTACACAATTAGAACTGATTACCTGGTTGTTGATGCGAACAGTGCCTTTTGATAATGGGATTTCAAGCATCTCAACATTGATGATGGTGATGTAAGGTTTCGGTGGGTCGAAAGATGTGTTGCAGCTTATCACAAACGACTCTTCATAAGAACAATTGGTTCAAATATCAAATGGGAAAGGAATGAAAGCATTTCAGCATTTTTCTTGACAACCAGGCTTTGCTATTGCTAGTGATGCTGATGATGCTTCTGTTAGCCATAACAATACTGTGATTTGCAGCACCAATTGCATAACCATTCTCTCTCTCTCTCTCACACACACAGTTTTTGGGAAAAGGAAGGGAAAGAAGCAATAAGAAAACTACCATTTATTGGACTTTAGTCGATAGCGGTCAGCAGGGTCCCTAAATCGTTATCCCAAAGTTGCAGGCAATCATCCATACTTGGCCATTTTTAACCTAATGTTTAGCATTACCTTATTGTCAATTGTGATAAAGTGTTGACAAGAAATTAATGTTTAATGGATGACATTGAGCCTTTGACATCAACGTTCTGGCATTTTCTTGATGTACTTTGTCTTGGAAAATTCTGTTTTTTTAATGGGGTGACTTGGTCTGACTACTCTGAGTAACTTTAGCCCTAATCTTGGTTAACATATAGCTTGAGTGGAGCCATTATGGACCAGGTCTCAACCTTAGCTCGGAAAATGACATTGCAATGTCAAATAGATAGTGCCAACCATACCTGGCTCAGAATAGATAGTGTCTTTTTGTGACTCAGATTGATAAAGTTTCACTTATTTTGAATATTCTCTATGAGTTTACTAATTGATTCCTTGAATCCTATCTCCTTTTTAATTCCTCACAGAAAGGGCCCTTAAAACTTGGAAAAGGTTTAGCTGCATTTAGAGCTATTTCATTTCATTAGCACCATGCTAAATTTGATGATCGGGATAAATAAGGATTGTACGTAATACATGAAGGCACAACTATGAGAGTTGTACAAGTCAGGCTAATCTAAAACTAAACTATGGGATAATCTAAAACTAAACCAAGGGCAAGAGACTTTAAGGGCCTATTTGGTACGCATTTTGTTTTTGTCGGATAAGGATCAATGTTGAAATGTTTCATATATAGCTGTCAAAAATCGAAATATTAATTTGGAATTTTTACATGTTTCAATACTGTAGCAATGTATACATAATGATTAGTTTAAAAATCATTATATTTTTTAAACTTGTTACTTTCAAAAATCTTGCAATAAATGGACGTTACCAAATATGTTTTATACTTGTTTTGTTTCGAATTAAAACAAAATGCGAACCAAACAAAGCCTAAATTAGCTTTTGCATAAAGTTGCAAAGGAAAAGATACTATGCTACTCCTTTTGTCTCAAAAGGTCAAAATAGTTGGATACTTTGGAAACTCTGAGTTACTACCAACTATTTTGGAACAGAAAGAATAAAACATAGGACCAAAAATGTTCATTTGGGTTGGGATTAAGTTGTCTAACACTTCCTTCTGAGCCCAACATGAATTGAGGTCAGGTAAAAAATGTCCAAACCCGTTTAAAAATTGGGTTGGACTCTCGTTGTTCATGGGTGGGCTTGACTAAGTTGCACCTAGTCTACTTACAATTGCCAACTGTTTATAAACTATATTAGGTTTTTTATTTTATTTTATTTATTATTTTTTACATTCAAATTTTTAAGTGTATAATCTTGGCCATCGAGATGCACTTTTTGAACCGATGCCCAATTAACTTGGTAGTATTTAATTCCATAATAATTCGATCTTGACAAAATATAATATATAATATTTTAAACATATATTCTGTAATACTATAATAGGTAATATTTACATTTTATCAAAATATTTTATTATTCTTTTATCCTTTTTTTTTTTCTCTCTAGTTTTTCTTACTCTCAAGTTTTTCTTTAACAAAGACTAAATTAAAGATCTAATTTTATTTTATTTTATTATTTTCTCTCTCTCTCTCTCTCTGTTTTCGTTATTTATTTGTATTATGTTTTTTTTATTTTTTCGATCTCCTTAGACATTATTATTTTACTTTTTTATAATAAAAAAAATCCATAACAAATCAATATCTAATTAACAATTAAATATAAATTTATTAATGAAGTATCTCTTGGATTATTGAAACAGAATGTACAATATTCTTCTAGGGTTCAAAAAATCCCCTCTATATTTTTTAAATTGAACAAATAAGGATAATTTTTCAATTTGAATGCTAAAATATTTTAAAGGCAAAATAAAAATAAATACATAATTAATTAAAAATAATAAATAATAAATAAGTAAAACTTTAAATTAAAAAATAAAAATACTAAAAAACAAGGGTAGTTTTTAAAATTTTTATAAAGCCCCAAATTTTATTACTTTATTTATTATTTATATACTTATTTATTATTTATTTTATTTTTTAATTCTTATTTATCAATTATTATTTATTTTATTTTTTAATTCTTATTTATCAAAAAAAATACCTACAATTTTTTTAAAGATATTTTGAAAATTTTATTAAAAAAATTTGGTTAAAATTGACAAACAGGAGCAATTTGCTACAAAATTTTAATATACAAAGTGTTATATGAGCTTTAAAAAACAAGAAGTATAAATTAGGTTTTTTTTTTATTTTTCTATCCCACTTTACCCAAATTATATATAGAAAAAATAAAAATAAAACATAATATATATTGTATCCTCCTCTTCATTTAATAATTTTGTACTTTTTTCTTAAAAAATTATTTAAAAGTAGAACTTTTTCAGGTTCAACAAACCCAGAGAGAGAGCCAGCTAGATATAAATAAACACGAGAACACAACCATTCAGCCCTAGTATCTAGCTAGGAAACCCTAGACGGCTGTCAGTATATAGCCCCTCAGATCTCAAAAAAATGTTGAATACCAAGGTTTTTCATACCCCAATTTCGCCAATGTTCGCTCTCCATGCCTAATTACTTCATCATTTCCTGTTTTGGTTGCTGTCAAGAAGGAGGAATTCCTTCTATTTCCTCGATTGATGTGTAACAATAAGAGTAAGGAATTTCCATCTCCACCCCGCCTCCATATCCACCCTTGGGCTTGGCAAACAAAGTACTCAGTCGAATAAATTCCCTACTCTTGCGGTTACATATCAAACGAGCAAATAGAAGGAATGCTACCATATTTTTTCTATATATAATTTTTAGTAATTATATACTAACCAAGAAAATAAGAAATCAGAGAACTGTTTGTGCAAGGATGACACGCACTAATCGAGAAGTTGGTCCAAATTTTTTTGAATGTGTTCTCTGCAATTCTCCTCATCTTACTTTTGCTTTCAGTTGAATCTGAGGTCAGTAAGGAATCAACAGCTTATTTTATCAATTTCTCTTTGGAACCATTAATTTCATGTTTATGACTGTTTCTTGCTATATATTTCATCTCTTTAGATCAAAAAATTTATCAGTTCTGAGGATGATGACAGACACGATTTGACGAGTTTCGTGTAGACTCAGTTTCATAAAATTATTCCCATAGAATGGGAATTTAAGATTCAGTTTTTAGGATGTTGACTTGTTTAATTCTGGGTGAATCTTCATTTCAGCAGCGTTCAGAATGATGGAGCTAAACTCTTGTCACTCTCCATAGTTTGGTTTTTTGATTACTTCAATAATTCCAAAATTTCATATTTTGCCATGTTGGGATGAATATTTTGGAAATTGAGTCGAAACATGTCCTCAATGTATATACATTTGGACCAAGTGCCCCTGTATATCTTTATGTACACAAACTTGGAACCATTAAGATTCTCCACCATTATGGTAGCATTCGTTGCCAAATCTGTATACAACCCCTCTTTTCGCATGTGAATTCCTTTTCTTTTGCAAGTCCTCCTCATCATTGTAACTGAACTGTAATTTAAGTTCCTTCTAAATCCATTTTTGTTCATTGTCAAGAGATTGTGGCATATCATTTGATTCATATTTAGCCTTGGACTTTACCACTCATTTTTAGTTGTGCTCTAATTTCTTTTGGTTTTCAAGTGGTTGTTTTGGCCATGATTCTATCTTATGTTTGTCATGGGTTAAAAGGGGCAACCTAATTATCCTATGATTGGGACATAAATGCATTCGGCTACCCTTGCACTAAATCCAGAGTCCATCGGTATTTCTAATGGTGCCCTAATTTCCTTACATTAAAAGTGTTCTTTTGTTCTTTCTTTTCCCTTGCCATACTTCTGTGTTTTGGTTTTTGGCTATCTTGGTAGCTGATCATCTGAAGTGATTCAGCCTTTTAGACATCAACACATTCAATGTGACTTCGGAGCGCTATTTTGCGTTTATTGGGTTGTAGATGATAAAACATAGAATTGATAGATGTTGATTTTGAGCTGATTCTTTTGTATCAGTATCTCTTACTGAGATATTAGGGTCTAGGGAGGCAGCTTAATAAGCATGTAATAGGGAAATAGCAATAGAGACATGAAATCATAGGAATTCTACGGGATACCCTTCTTTCTTTGTCTGATTCGAGGAGTAAGGTCCGATTGAATTTTTAATAGTTATTTCTTTGGGCCATCTCCTTTGAGTGATTGATAGTGAACCAGTAGAATTTGGTGCGTTGGTATCATGTCCAACATATTGGTCTAACATCAATTCTTATTTAGAATGTGCATAACTCAATTAGATCACCATAAAACAACAGGAGATATATCGTTACTCAACCAATACAACAAGCATTGTATAGAATTGAAGTTTAGGGACAAAAAAATACCAATAACCACTATAAAGAAACAGAAGTTAAAGAGTATTTCTCGTCACATACCAAAAAACAAAACCTTAAATGATCATGTTTACTTAGACAACATATATTGGACATCTAAAGATGATGATACATTAATATCCAGATAAGATCCCATCGAAGTTGAAGCATCATCCCAAGGACCATTGAGTTCAGGTACAGGACATTCAACTTCTTCATAGTTTTGTAGAGTAGTAGATGCTCCATTTGACATTCTAATTGCTTCCAACTCCATTGCAGTTTCTTTCATTGTAGGCCTTTTTCTCCCATTCAAGTTCAAGCATCTTTTTGCAAGATTAGCGACTTGCATGATCTCTTCTTTCCCACCCTCTTTCACAACTCGAGCATCAAGAATATCAAATAGACGATTCTCTTTCATTGCCAACATAAAATATGTTGCTAAACTTCGCCATTCTTCATATCTGATTGATGACACCGGTTTTTGTCCAGTTAAGAGCTCAACAAGAACTACTCCAAAGCTATAAACATCGCTTTTCTCTGTAAACTGACTTGATTGGAAGTACTCAGGGTCTAAGTATCCAAAGGTTCCCTGTACTTTTGTGGTTAGGTGAGTTTGATCAACCGCAATTGATCTTGAAGTACCAAAGTCGGACACTTTTGCTCTGTATTTATCATCCAACAGTATGTTTGTGGACTTGATGTCTCGATGATAAATGGGTATGGAAGCTGCCGAGTGTAGATAGGAAAGAGCTCCTGCAACTTCTATAGCAATCCGAACACGAGTGTCCCAAGAAAGAGGAAACTCTTCATTTTGGTCATGGATATACTGGAAAAGGGTTCCATTAGGGATGAATTCGTAAACAAGCAGAGGTACTTCTGTCTCCAAACAACATCCATGTAGCTTGACTACATTTCTATGGTTAGTTTGTGATAAAATGACCACCTCGTTAATAAATTGTCCAAGTTTGCGTTCATCCACTATTTTGGACTTTTTAACTGCTACAATTTTTCCATCTGCCAACATGCCTTTGTAAACAGTACCCTGGCCTCCTTGACCTAGTATACGGTTCTCATTAAACTGATCAGTGGCTTTTTCCAACTCCTTCGAAGTGAAGAGTTTGGTTTTCTCAAAGTTACCTTCACCTGAAGACAATTGTTGTTGTAATAACAAACCCCCATTTCGTTTAAAGAATTTTTCCTTGAGCTTAATTTCCCTTTTTCTTTTCACTAGTTTAATCATCCACCATGTACCAATAAGTAAAAATAGTATTCCGAGACCTGTGCTAGTACCTGCAGAACATAATAGGAAAAAATCACCTCTCACCTAAAAAATTTATGCTTGAATGAAAAAAATACTGGTATATGCTAATATTCCCTAGATTTGTTCATATCCCATCTATTCCCATAAAAAAGACAAATCCTTTCCCAGTATTCTGGTGTAAGTGCAGAACTACCCAATTTCATCTATTAAATGAAATTTGACTTTGAGTTTAACCTGTTAGTCCACAAATATGATCTAGACTATATGGTTACTTTTTGGAGCTACTTTAGTTGCTACCATGTTTCCTATGGTAGTTGTACTGTCAGAAGGGATTCAAGGTTTGCAAAATTGAATCGTATTTGTGTTAAAAAATTATATTGACAGATGAAAAAATCTAGGTTTTTTTTTTTTTCTTCAGTTTGGCTCAAATTTTAGTTCTTTTTAATATGGACTCATACCAAATCGATTAATTGTCTTGATTTTGATCAAGCAATAATCAGTACCTCCAATTTGTGCGTGTTATTTCTTTGTTGTGTGTTTGCACAGGGGGTGGGGAGGACGTACCTATAATAATGATCCGAACTCTGTTGCCTTCATTGTCCTTGAGTTTATAGCAACTATATCCAATAGATATGTACCCAGGTGGACAATGGCACTTGTAACTCCCTGGTGTATTCTCACAGATCATCTCACAGCGATTGATATCACTCATCGCACATTCATTGATATCTGACATTCAAAATCAAACAAAATAAGCTATTAACATGTTTGTCTATACACCTGCATAGGACAACATGGAGAGTAGTTGAGCGATATGCTATGCGTATGTTATGCCAAATACAGACGATTGACAATATTTTTTTTCGGAAATTAAGAGTGACATTATATTAAAAGTTAATATAGACAAGTCACTAGGTGTTTGCTTTTGCTGGTAATCAATTGATGAAGTTATGTTCCAGTAATGCATAACTAAACTGAAAATTCGTGGTGCAAATTTACTAATTGCAGAATTTTACCTTGGCATCCATCAGGCAGATATGGGTTTCCTTCATAGCCGAGGTCACACTGGCATCGGTAACTTGAGCTTTGATTGGAAGTGGAACTGCAGGAAGCATTAGTGCCGCATAATGAGCTATCAGGCACACTGGAATTGTAGACTCCAAATGTTTGGCACGTCCCAATTGTGTACCAATTCAGCACAGCAGGGACCTTCTCCATTTCCTGCACGGCAAAGGGGTCAGTCAGGTTAGTGAACCATTCTTGGTCCACCATAAAGGCATATTTGCACTCTTTATTATCACTGTTTGAATCTATGCTTCTGAAAGATGCATTGATAAACTTGAGGAATGGAGGGATTGTGGTTTGGCAGCAGTTGAGGCCATAGCAAGTTGTATCTCTTGTAGTAACATTGCATAGGGACATACAGCCCCCAATGACCATTCCTTGCCGGGTGATCAAGGCGAGGTTGTCACAACCCATGGCCGTGAATCGGTTGTTGGTGTCTGAGAAGGAAAAAGGGCCATTCAAGTACACATCTTGATTATTGGTCCTGTTTTCACAATTAGAAGAGATTACAGGGTTGTTGACGCGGACAGTGCTTTCTGAAAACGAGATTTCAAGCACCTCAAGGTTGATGCCGGTGATGAAAGGTTTGGGTGGGGTGAAAGAATTGTTGCAACTTATCTCAAGCGACTCATCAGCAGAACAATTGGCTCCAATTCCAAATGGGTAGGGAATGATAACATTTCCGCATCTGTCATGACAACCAGGCCTTGCTAGTGATGCTGCCGATGCTGATGATGCTCCAATTAGCAAGAACAATATGGTGATTTGCTGCACCAATTGAATAACCATTCTCTCCCTCCCTCTCTCTCTCTCTCTCTCTCCCTGAGTTTTTTGAAGAATGAGATGAAAGAAAGAACTACTTTGCCATCTATTAGTCATAGTCAATGTTGGAGACCATAGTTATTGTGAAAAGGAAGTCTTTCAGTAGCTTTGAAGGTTGGAGCCTACCATAGTTGACCATTAGTTTTATCATTGAACCAATCATCCAACAATTTTGATCAAGGCCAAAGGAAAATAATTAATAAACATATCTTGTATTAGTGGGTTATAGCAACAATTTTATGTTTGATAGATGACATTGACATGAACGTTCTGGCATCTTCTAGCCATTTCTCGTCTTGGAAAACATACCTTTTCAATGTTGAAAAGCACTCCTTAAACAAGTATGTCTTTTTTTTTTTTTTTTTTTTTTTGGCTAATATGTCAATTTATGGAGATAGGAGAAGATATTGGGTGTGTCCAGTGCATCGGGGTCATTCGAGCCGTACGAAGATCTGGCGCACGTTCATCTGTGCTGTTGGAGCACAATAAGCCTGAAGAAACAAAGGAAAGACCAACCCTAATGGCTTGGATCAACCAATCTGGCCAGTTAGACCACTGATTTAACACTAAGATCCCAACTAAACAAACTGTGAGCCACCATGTTACAATGTCTGGGAGTCCAAGAGAGGGAAACAACATTATTGATAGAAGAGAAAAACTCCGAGGCTTCTTCAAGAACCAAACCTAGCAAAAAGCCTGAGGCTTTCTCTCAATACTTGTGGAAAAACATAGCAGAGTATTTCTAACCGACCTTCTGACTACATGCTTGGGGGAATTTCACTGTCAAGAGTGCTTATATAAACTCATTTCAGCCTAAATTTATTGCAGAAACTGGTTGTGCTCACAACCAAGAATTCCAACCTTCCTCGAAAGATATTTGGTCTATTTATACCACCAGAAAAAATAATGCAACCGAATCGGGGCCTTGGATTTGAGATTGGACGAAATTTAGTTCAAAAAATTTCATCCAATCCTAAATGAACTAAATTTTGTCTAATCCTAAATCCAAAGTATCGATTCGGTGTTTCCAAATATAACATCAATCAAATGACCATTCCATAATTTACAGTATGAAAGAAAAAGATCAGAAACATGATGAATTTGAGAATTGGGCAGACATTGAGAAGAAATGAATGGATTAGTGGAATCGGGAAGCCAAGAATCTTTCCAAAAACTCAATCTTGGACCCATTAACCACTCTCCATCCTCCACCTTTATAAGAAAAAATCATTGACAGAGAGAATTCCTTTCCATGCACAAGAATCAGATTTCTTACAAATAGAATCCACTAAATTACATGAAGGGAAATAACTAAGTTTAAACACTTGGAAGAATAGGGAAATTTTTCAGTGACTTAGTTGGTATGACACCCGTTCTCAGAGCGGCACAAAAAAAAAAAAAAAAAAAAAAAAAGGAATTGTCACCAAGTTACAAGTCTCCAAGCTAGTTTATACAGCAGAGCTTGATTGCCAGTCCACCAAAAAAAACTTTATTCTAATAATGGCGATGGCGATGTGACAGTGACAATAACCATTTAAATGCAAATTAATTGTTAACAAAATTAGATATAAGAACCAAAACCCCATAAACCGAAACATATATCTGGATCATGGTCTGAACCTTTACTTTGTGGTGAAGCTTCAATTTCACCCTTCAGGAGCCTTGCCTAAGCAATCAATTATACCTGCTCAGAAAATGACGTTACAATTTCAAATAGATAGTGCCCTTTTTTTAACTCCGATTGATGGAGTAGTAAAAAGTTACAAAGTAAGACAAAAAATAAATAAATAAATAAATAAGGTTACAAAGTAAGTTTGTAGCTAAACTCAAACTAAATTAAAGGCTAGCAAAGGGCCATATTTTAAAAAACTCTCCGGAATGTATGGCCTCCAGAGGGACATATTAGGCAGACCTTATTTTTCAAATTGACTTTCCAAACATTGAAACTTGTAAATCACAATATCATCTCCAGAGTTCAGAACTTTTGGCATCACAACATCATTTTTATGTTAGCAGCAACCTAAAAATGAATTCCAGCTGGCAGGAAACTATACATACGAATAGCAGACTCTATATAGAAAGAGAGAATTAGAACAAAAAAAAAATATATATATATATATATATATACACGCACACATATATTCAAAAATACACTCACAAATTCACAATATTGCCTTTTACTGAGCTGAAATACTCAACCTTCCATTTAAAAAGAAAATATCATACCATATAGACTAATACCCGGAAGAAAAACTTGGGTAGTTTGATAATCTATCGTCTATATACTACTATATACCTTATAATAGTCATTAGCAAAGACTTTTTCCTTGCTCACCTCCCTTTTGAATTTTTAAATGGGAAATATCACTTACCTCATTCCAAGTTAGGTCTATATGTGGTATGTTTTAAAAATTACGCCAACCTCCCTTTAAGTTAACTCCGTCACAATACTTTGACCCTTCCGTGAATAGTTAACGTCGGTCAACACCCTTTTTTGTGCTTATATCAGCCTATTTTCATTCAACACTACCAAATTTGCCTATAGCATAGTTGTAAGGGCATTTTCACCCTTACTTTTTGATTAAATTTACAAATATACCCGGAAAAAAATGCCATTACAATATTACCATCTCTGTCTCTCTTAACTTTCTCCCTCTAAAAATGGGTTTGTTGCCGAGGTTCTCTCCCTTTGTACAAGGTCCAACTCTCTCTCTCTAACATATGGAATTAGATCCTCTACCATATATACTAGTATATCTGGGGAAAGAAAAACAAAAGAGAGAAGGAAAAAAAAAAGAAAAAAAAAAAAAAAAGATGTCTGTTGGGTGAAGATGAAAAAGTAGAGAGAGAAACCCAAAAATTATATCCACGGAAACAGCAACATATATTCAACATGAGAAATTGGCTAATATCTTCGGTGCAACTATAATTTCCTTAAAAATATACTATTAGTGAAGCAAGCTATCTCATAATTAATGAGTTAGTGCTAACGGTTAAATTGATTACTATTATTTAAAAGAAAAAAATTAAATAATCTTATTATCCACTCAGTTACATGGGGGGACATTGGGGAGCAAGCAGGTGAAATTGTAAATAAACAACTAAGGCACTAATTTTGGTAAAATTCAGGGGCGGACCAGAATTTTTTTTTTTTTTTTTTTTTTTGGGGGTGTTTTACAGTACTAGTAGAGATTTTAATCTTTGACAACTCGGCAAGGGTCTTCAATAGAGGTTTCGGATAGGATCGGAAACATGAACTCCGGCGAGTTGGTTCATCAGGATACCTCTGGTCATGGTATTCAAAGCTGCTCAACCTACCCTTTAGCTCCGCTTTCGCATCAAGCCTTAACAATGTGACTCAAACACGTCCATGCCACCAAGCTTTTTTTCATTTGGAGCTGCCACGTATTTGAATGAGTTCTACACTTGTCAAACAACGTTTATCATAGGATGTTAAAATAAGAATATGAAAAATTTTACAAATTCTAGAGAAAAAATAAACGTGAATGAGGAGATAGGAGAGAAAAAAAAAAAAAAAAAAAGTGGAAAGATAAAGATATAAATCTTTTGGCCTCTATTAAATATCTTTTGGCCACTATTAAATCTTTATTAGTTAAGTGTCTAATAATCAATACAAATAAAAATTTTAAGGAGGTTATAATATAAAGAAAAAAAAAATTAGAGCCTTTCTATTGGTTAATATTTTTAGGAAGGTTATAATATAAAAAATAATTTTTTTGAAAGTTATAATATAAGAAAATATAAATTTTGAGGCTTTTATATTAGCTGAAGTAATAATAGAAAGGAAATAAAAATTTTAGAAGGATATAATATGAAAAAAATAAATAAATAAATAAATAAAAATAAAAATAAAAATAAAAATAAAAAGAAAAAGAAAGGCCTTCTTATTAGCTGGCGGCCTCTGATCCACGCATGAGAAGAGGAGGGCTACAATGATTTTTTGTTTCTACTCCGGGGTCTAGTATATGGTAGTTAAATAATTTTATTAACTTCTACTTAAGTCCGTCCCTGGTTAAATTGATTACTTACATGTACTTTGATTTTTATTGACTTTTTTAAGGAGGACTTTTTTTAAATCTATTGAGGGGGAAAAAATAAAAAATCCACTGGGCCGAATCCGGCCCAGCCCACCCATTTGAGACTGAAATCCAGCAAATCTCCTTGTCCAGTCAATTTCATATCGGGCCCGACCTTAGAATGGGACGGTCCAAGGGAAAACTAAGTCCGTTTTATTTCCAATTTGAAACCCAAGTTAGGGAATTAGGGTAGAGAGGAATGTACAATAATTAAGAATGGGAAAAAAGAGAAGGTGGACTGTATGGTGTAAAAATAAAACTTTCCATTAATAGAAAGGACTATTATTTTGCATCTACATCTATACATCGCCAAGCTATATATATTGTGACAACTCCAATTATATATGAAATTAAGGTGTTGATGATATACACAGAGACTATAGAGAGAGAGAGCAAAGTGATATCTAACATTCTTCTAATATTTCTTCTAAATTTGTATTTCACAATGAATGATTTTATAATATTGTTTAACTTTCTTGCCAACTTATAATAAAGATCTTCTAGAAATCAATCTTTTGAGAAATTAATATTGCTGAGGATGAATAAACTATAAATCAAATTGTTACTGACCTGGTCTCTATTTTATATGGATACCAACCATGGGTAGGCTGATGTTTTTGTTTTTTTTTTTTTGTTAAAATGAGTAGGCTGATGTTGATTCCTCCTAATATTAAATAAACAATACTTGCTAGTATGCTTGGACTTGTCAAACTGAGAGATTCTAGTATTTAATTAGATAACTAATCCTACTACTTTAAAAGATATATTTCGCACTGTTTACCTCTGTAGTGTGAAACTATTTCATTAGATGAAGAAAATAATGGTTCAACTTCTTGATACAATACAAACAACAAATCTTGTTCATTTGTCTTCCGTTTTTTTTTTTTTTTTTTTTTTTTGTTTAATAATCTTTAGGTGACTGTGAAGTCTTCATTTTCTTCCTATTTTTTTTGTTTAATAATCCCTAGGTGTGATGGTGAAGTCTACATATTCTACTTCGAGGTAGGTTGGCTAGA